TGAGTCCAGCTGTACAATCGGGCAGAAAGTTCTGGTTATCTGTCCACTTCTGGGCTATGGTTTTGTTCTAGGACCGTGTGTTGGATGGACATCTGTCTTACCGATCTGATTTATCTATATGCAGACTGTTAGTTCCTTGCCTTTCAGGCAGATGACCTCTGACTTTAAAGGAAGCCCTAACAGATCGACTCCTGCAACATGCTTGTTGGGAAGACGGTTATTCTGTTTTTATTTTCCTCACAATGGGGCCCCAGCCATGAAACAAACCCACGCCCTTCAGAGCAAGAGGTGAACAGCGTGACAACATTGTCATGGAGACCCCCCCCCCCCCCCCACCACTTATAAAGAGAACTGATTACCCACATCAAGAGAAAAATCTGTTGGTCACATTGTGAGAGTTGGAAACTGGTGCGCATTGTGACAACTGGAAAGCTGACATGACAGAGAAGCACAGGAAGACCAAGAGAGAAGGTACATGACAGTCTAGTATCGTGACATGCTGTTTTATAAGTGCCAGAACTTACTGAGAGTACAAGAGGCAGAAGCATGCACAAAAACTGGACTGGAAACGTTATACAGTATAGGCTATAATAAGAACATAAAACGTGAAGGCAAGCTTTGTATCAATTAATTGTACAAACCTCAACAATAAAAAAAAAATTTTATTACAAAACAAAAGGGACACAACTATCCAGCAGTTCATTCTTACGTCCATTTTAGGACGTAATTTTTTGTTATTTGAAGCCCCACTCTGGCTATTGCCAGGGGCCGCAATATAGGCAGGCCATAAAAATGGCCAAATGTCTGAACGCGGTTTCTGGGACCTCTCCACGGTGATCCTCATCCACATGGTGGCACATAGTGTCATCGGGTGTTTATCGCTTGTGTGATGTCCTAGTGGGGTAGAAAGTCACTCACTCACTCACACAACTATAAAATACAAGTACCATAAGTATGTTACAACCAGTTTAACAATATTGATTTCTGTTTAAAAAAAATTATTTTATAGAAATGTTGATGCTAATGTAGTATAATTTAACATATTTTTGTGTGTAGGTTTTCTCTAGTTCTGACTGAGCAACCATTGTGCTTTTCTTTTCATTAGTCCATGTTGGCAACAAAGAATTCATTAAAATAGGATTAATTTGCGTCACTTACTTGCAGAAAATCCAGTGGAGCTGAAATGTGTGTATGTATGGTTGTTGTTATGTTACTAATCTAGTCGTCCCCATGTGGGATGCAATTTTTTCGTTATTTTGAAGCCCCACCCTGGCTCTTGCCAGGGGCCGCAATATAGCCCGGCCATAAACATGGCCTAATGCTGAACGCGGTTTCCGGGACCTCTCCACGGGGGATCCTCATCCGCATGGTGGCACTTTGTGTCATAGGGCGTTTATCGCTTGTGTGATGTCCTAGTGGTGTAAAAGTACTACTACTACTTCTTGTTATTATGATAATATTTTATCATTTCAGATCTTTGTCTCTCAAGATGCTTAATCTGTTCATACAGATTTTTGTGACAGTTAATAAATAAATTGGAACCCTGGATGTGGCCGAAGATTGCCATAAAATTTATATTAATGCAACAACTATCACAAAATTAATATAAATATTTCTTCATCTTCTGCTGCTGCTGCTACTAGTCCGCTGAGAACATTGAAGTTTAAACCTTTCTCTCGATATTTACTCACCCAAGCCTTTAATCACACAATTCCAAACATGACCAACCACCCCTGGCATCTTCCTAACCCACAGAAACGTTCCACGAAGATCAAACAAAAATACAGGTGTTACATCCATGTTGTATTAATAATGATCACATGCATCTAATAACAAACAGGTAAATGGTGTCACCATGACTACCTAACAAACAACTGACAGTTATTTTGACTACAAATCAAGTGACAATTACATTGTAAATAAAAATAATACAGGGATAGCTAACAGCAATGAAAAAATAGACTTTACGAAAGGTCAGTCGCCGTGGCAGAGGGGCTAGATGCACGCAGCGGATCGGAAGGTCGTGGGTTTGCTTCATAGTGAAGCCAAACTATTCCTCAAAAATGACCTTGGCTCCCAGGTCAACCCAGCCGGGTGCAGTCCTGGGAAGTAGAACTGGCCAGCATGATGCTGACCACATCACCCATCTTGTGCCGTTGGTCTATAAAATATAGGTCTAGCCCTATAAGCCTAAAGGCGTGGAAAAGGGTCTTTACTTTTTTTTTTTTTATGAAAGGCCGTCACCGTTTCACCAAGACGTTCATAAAATGAGCCTCATCTATTTGCCAAGATGTTCGTAAAATGAGCCTCATCTATTTGCCGAGATGTTCATAAAATGAGCCTCATCTATTAGCCGAGATATTCATAAAATGAGGCTCACCTATTTGCTGAGATGTTCATAAAATGAGGCTTATCTATTTACCAAGACGTTCTTAAAATGAGCCTTATCTATTTGCCGAGATGTTCATAAAATGAGCCTCATCTATTTGCCGAGATGTTCATAAAATGAGGCTCACCTATTTGCTGAGATGTACAAAAAATGAGGCTCACCTATTTGCTGAGATGTTCATAAAATGAGGCTCACCTATTTGCTGAGATGTTCAAAAAATGAGGCTCATCTATTTGCTGAGATGTTCATAAAATGAGGCTCACCTATTTGCTGAGATGTTCAAAAAATGAGGCTTATCTATTTGCTGAGATGTTCATAAAATGAGGCTCATCTATTTGCCAAGATGTTTATAGAATGAGGCTCATCTATTTGCCGAGATGTTTATAAAATGAGGCAAATGTTCATTTTAAAAAAAAAGGCTCATCTTTTTGTCTAGACATTTATCAATTAATCCTCATCTCTTTGCCAAGACGTTAATAAACTGACCTTCAGACAGCCTCATTCACCTATTTATCATTTTCAGGGGCCAAATTATTTTACTTCTATTTTACATTTTGCTTCCTCATAAAGTTTTAATCTGACAAGCATCAGTAACATAATAAATTCTGAACTGACAACTATCTGAAGCATGATTAACCCTGTCGCTCCGGGAAAGCCATCTTTCTAGTATGTATGGGTTTTTGCTGCCACAAAGACTTTGGGCAGTGGTGAATACGCCTATATAACAGATTCAGAACTGGCTACAACTGCATACAGTATACATATGGTGAGTATGACTATAAATATGCTGACCTCCTCCAATTCACACAATACTTTTAGTTAAAAAAAAATCTCCTTGTTGAAAACTATGATGTGATATCATCATTACAGTATTACTAACTTACTTAGTCGCTCCTCTTCTACCTTGTGATGTGGAGGATTGCCAGAAAGAGTGCCAGAATTTTCTATCAGCAGTTTGACATTATTATAATCTCATAAATAAGTGTTTTTGCTGGAAGTGGCCAAGCCAACAAAAACATTTATCATGATCCAAGAGAAGGAAAGCAGTTAATTCTTTGCTCCGTTTGTATTCAGTGATTACTTCCCTTCAAGTAAAAGCAAATGCATTTCTGGTATCTGTGAACTATAATGACTGAAAACATTGTAATTTATTAGTAATCCGGCGGATATTATGAAGAAGTAGCCTTCATGTTCTTCTGTCTGCTGGATGGTTGAGAGGTCTGATGCACCTGGAAATTTTATGAAAACATATCAAGACTACAATGCTTTAGCTTCTTCCCTTCACCTTGTGTCTTTATGAAGAGCTTCAAAGAACTTTATAAAAAAAAATTTCCAATGACATTTTGAAAAACAAGTCATGTTTTAAGATTTTTATGAGTTGAAAAATGCCATCTGGAACATGAAATGCAAAAAGAAAATCTAAACTATCTAATCTGAGAAAAATAAACAAAAATGCTGCTACTATTATATCATATTTGTGCACAATGAACTTTTATCTAAACATGGTCGCCTAAGCATGCACGCGCGCACACGCACACACACAGAGACTGTTTTGTTTTCTCTTATTCTGTACCTTGGTCATGTATTCAATTGCCAGACCAACTTTCACACCATCTTTGCCTGTTGTCCACCCACACATAACGTGGTCTTTCCACTGTTCACTTCCCTCCTAAATGTCTTTCCAGGATAATCTTCAACAAGAAACAGACTGTCTCTACACGGCTGAAGAGCTATTATGGACTAAGAGAAACTCAATGGGTGATGCTGACAATATAAAGCTGCCCACCTCAACTTCCCAGGACACCTTCTGGCAATATTTAGGCTGGATAAACGTGGCAGCCCCTATCAATGTTTAAAACTCGCTGTCACATGACCACTTGGCAGACAGACAAGGATGCTGGCTGCAGTAATATTTCAGTTCTTAGTCAACAGTCCCAGAAAACACCTCAGCCCTACCATATCTGCAACAGTACGCCATTGCATGACAACAGTCTTCCCAGTTTATCTCACAGCCCATACAGCTACATAACTGTCAACATAGCCGGAGAAATAGAAATATAATTGGGTAGATGTTACAACAAAGCCAGATGATTTAACAGCCCTTTGAGAGCAAGTAAACAGTGCAGAGGCACAAACAGATCACCAAGGTCTGCAGCGAGCAGTAAGCAGGGAATGTGGCTGATGCTCAAAACTAAGGGGAAGGGTGATAAGGACACACAATCAAACTGTTACAATTACCATCAGAACCTGAAGTCTGTGCCTGTAACTGACAATGGGGGCGAAGTGCTCAAGGGAATGTCCCGAGTGATCTTATGATGTCGGTTCCTAGCTCCTAACTCATAACCCAATTTATCCAAATGATGGGCCATTTCATGTCCTGTTAATTAAAAAAATGATCCTAGCATTACTTTCAATGGTTTATACTTTGGTGCCTCCAGTCTGTCAGTGTCCACACAATTCTGATGTCCACAAAAATATACAACTGCCCACACAACCACACAAGTGTCCACACAGCCAGAGACATAGAAATAAAAGGGGGTAGATAATACAACGAAGCAGACAAGTTATCTGACTAAGTTAATCCAATGAAACAGACGTGACTAATATTGGTCTAGCATCGAGTCTCATAAAGTCCACTTCGGCCGATGTAGCGAACCCATTTAATGACATCGTGGTCGCTGTAGTTAATCTTAGACTCAAACACTTTCAGGTAGCGGACCTTGAATCCAGATGGAGCAAATGGCACCTGGGGAGATTAAACAGTGGTACAAAATTATGAATTGATTTATTTCTTTATTTTTTTCTGCAAAAGGAAGAAGCTGACAGATTACGACAACAGGGTTTTATTTATTTTTTTCTAACTTTATAGTTCTAAAACTGGGAGTTGTCTTAAACATGGAATTGTTTAAAATATTTATTTCTTAATTTTGGGTTAACAAAAACTTTGGGTCATCTTATAAAAATATGGTTCATTTTATTAATGGCTACCTCCATGCCACAGATTTAGTATCATTATCAGCATTCTTATACGCAAATGATTGCAGGGGCAGGCAACATAAGGCTGGTGCAGTTGCTTCGGGTGCCCACATAACATATATGAAAGTTAAATGGAACACCTTGGGTTAGCTCTGCTGGCTTGCCATCCAGAAAGACTCTTTTGTATCCTCAGGTTGGTCAAATCTTCATGCAGCATCGGGTGGGGGTCCATATCATGAGGACGGTTATGACAAAAGGCATGGCACTGTATCCTTATCTAGGTCAGTGGACCACAAGGATGCAACCTTAATCTGCCAGACATGATCATTTCATTGAGGGCTCAAGAGGTTTGATTCTATCAATACAGAACAGGCATGATCAGCCGTTTCACATCTGTGGAGCTACTGAGGAGGGGAGCGGAGCACCTAAGAATCTATCCAGTGTGATGTGATCATAGCCCTCACTTGATCACTAAATCACTGCCCCCATGCCCATCCACTCACCTCAAAGTTCATGGACCTGGCTAGGCAGGTTCTCTCTAGATGTTACATTCCACCTATCCCTACCTCAATGCACACACTCACCTCAAAGTTCATGGACCTGGCTAGGCAGGTTCCCTCTAGATGTTACATTCCACCTATCCCTACCTCAATGCACACACTCACCTCAAAGTTCATGGACCTGGCTAGACAGGTTCCCTCTAGATGTTACATTCCACCTATCCTTACCTCAATGCACACACTCACCTTAAAGTTCATGGACCTGGCTAGGCAGGTTCCCTCTAGATGTTACATTCCACCTATCCCTACCTCAATGCACACACTCACCTTAAAGTTCATGGACCTGGCTAGGCAGGTTCCCTCTAGATGTTACATTCCACCTATCCCTACCTCCATGCACACACTCACCTTAAAGTTCATGCAAATGGGTGAAGGGGTTCTCTCTAGCATGTTACATTCCTTCTATCCCTACCTCTATGCACACACTCACCTCAAAGTTCATGGAAATGGGTGGACGAGTCCATTTCTTGCCCTTGTCGCTGGTGTTGAGAAGTTCTATTTCTGCACTCAGCTGGCATTCCTTCATGCCACCCATCCGTTTGATCCTGGAACCAATCAATATTCACAGGAGTCATACACCGAACTACCACAGGATCAAAGAAATAAAAATGCACACCAAGCAGTAGTCCGTGAGAATAGACAGAAAGATCCTCATAAGTACCAAACAATAAGACAACTGCTCAACACCAACTTACAAGAAGTCCTTCTCAAATACAACTGTTGTTTTACCTATTCTGCTCTAAACCTTTGCCATGGATCCTCGCCGTACGATTATCACTTTCATGTTATTTATGATTACTACCAAGTATTGTAATGTGCCCATTTAGGTATGAAGTTAAGGTCCCTTTACACACTACTGGTGCATCGGATACACCAATCAGTTCTCCATGGATGATATGGTCAACATTATGTAGGTCACCTTTATTTCCCAGGATCTGAATCTAGTATCTCCAATTGATCCCAGCTCACTGGATATGAGTTAGCAGACAGACTTGCAAAAAATGGAAAACATGAGAAACAACACACACATTCATCGTCCTTACCAGAAATCAGAACATTTATCAAAGGAAAATACAAGGGATTGTGAAGAGAACAAACTAACAGTAAATATCCACAAGACCCCATCAGCAGACTCAACTGAAAGCAACATACAACAATTTTCCGTCTATGAACAGGATACTGCAGGCTCAACTACCACATGCATAAAAACAGGACATGTCAAACAGGACCACAAATACCTGAGTACATTCTGCAGACCTGCCCACTCTACCTGCAACTTCGAAAGGACACCTGGCCTCAAGAGCAAAGTGTGCAGAGCAAGCTATGGGGAACCATGAAGGACTTGCAGCTGACATGCGAGTTCATACAGGCAACCCACCTGATGGTCTGATCTGAGCATACAAAACCGAACGCAAAGAAGAAGAATAATCTAGTATTCATTTAAGGCTGAGTCGATCTGGAAGCCAAGGTAACGTTTGAAAAATGTCTGGTTCCATGCAGATTTTAACCCATGACCTTCGGATCCACAGGCGAGGCATCTAACTTCTACACCAAGGCGGCTCCCACATTTAGGAAGGCATTTTACTATATTCAATTTGCTGGCCTGGCAGTAGACAGGAGTGATGTCATTCATGCAATTGTCAATGCATATATGCAAAGAAGGCTACGACAACAAGCAGGTCTCACTATCCTTGTCCAGGCAGGTGGATATGGCAGTGCAACCTGGAGCTGCCAGACATGAGCAGTTTACTAAGGGCACAAATCAAAAGTAAACAGGTGTGATCACTTGTTTTGCTCTTGTGGAACAATATCAATGAGGAGATCGGAGCACCTATGGATCTTTCCTGAATTTTCTTCTTAGCATTCAGTAGCTGTAACTCCAACTGAAAGTTCTGGTTGTTTGTCCATTTCTGAATTTTAGTCCTGTTCCAGATCTTGAGTTCATTTTCACAGATCCGACAGTTGTATGCAGACTGTTCGTTCCTTCCCTCTCAGACAGATGCACTCTGACTCTGAAGATCAGACGCCTTGCATAACATGCTTAAAAAGTGGGAAGGTGGCGGTGGGGGGGGGGGGGGGGGGGGGGGCTGGTGTATGTATATTTTTTTAATCCCCAAAATGGGGCCACAGAACCCACATGGGATAACCCTGAGAGTTTAGCATTCTTTACTACTTGGTCAGTAGCTCTTCCATTACTATTTGACCTTACAATGCAACATTATGAACACACTAACCTGAGACAGCTGTCACATACTACCCTGAAACAGCTGTCATACACTAACCTGAGACAGCTATCACATACTACCCTGAAACAGCTGTCATACACTAACCTGAGACAGCTATCACATACTACCCTGAAACAGCTGTCATACACTAACCTGAGACAGCTGTCACTTACTACCCTGAAACAGCTGTCATATACTAACCTGAGACAGCTATCACATACTACCCTGAAACAGCTGTCACACACTAACCTGAGACTGCTGTCACAAACTACCCTGAAACAGCTGTCACACACTAACCTGAGACAGCTATCACATACTACCCTGAAACAGCTGTCATACACTAACCTGAGACTGCTGTCACATACTACCCTGAAACAGCTGTCACACACTAACCTGAGACTGCTGTCACATACTACCCTGAAACAGCTGTCACACACTAACCTGAGACAGCTATCGGACACTACTTACTTCCACACAATAGCGTTCTCACTGGCCTTGTATTTGGCTTTCCCTTTCATACAGATCACCTGGACACCGCTAGTGTTGAGAGGTGTTGGAATGCGAACCTGGGGAAATGAGAACAGATAACCATCATATTTTTAAAACAGACAATTCATTGGTTTTGTCATGCTTTTTCTTCTCCCCTTAATCCCCTTTTGCAATATGAGCACTCAGCCTACTCATGCTAAGTGATTCTATCCTTGATTATCGTATGCAGCTCACCTTATGTCCTCTCCATCTTTTAATCTTCACTCTGCAGCTTTCTTCTTGTAGCATTTGTCTATGACCCTTTGTGTGCAAACTTATCCTAGTTATATTATTCTCAGATTTTCTCAACGTGTCCTATTCAGCGCCCTTTCTTCACCTTTTGCTTCACTAGAACTTCTTTTGTTCTCTCCCAAAGCTGCCCATTAGTGATTCTAAATTAGCATGTACTCCCTTTAATTCTGCGCTGGCACCAATTAATGAATGTTTGTAGGTTTCTGTCTTTACTTTTCTCAACTCTGTCAGTCCCAGAGAGTTGTTACTGAACTATTTCTGTCTAATCTAAAGCAAATGTTATTTCAAACCAAGGTGTCCCATAAGTTTCTAAAAAAAATGTTCAACAACCACTGCTTTACAGCAAATAAACAAGCTAGCAACAAACTGAACAATGATGAATAACAAGAGGGGGGGGGGGGATAGACAGACACAGAATGACAGAGAGATAGAAAGAGAGAGAGAGAGAGAGAGAGAAAGAGAGAGAGAGAGAGAGACACACAGACAGACAGACAGACAGACAGACAGACAGACAGACAGACAGACAGACAGACAGACAGACAGACAGACAGACAGACAGACAGACAGAGAGAGAGAGAGAGAGAGAGAGAGAGAGAGAGAGAGAGAGAGAGAGAGAGAGAGAGAGAGAGAGAGAGAGAGAGAGAGAGAGAGAGATAGATAGATAGATAGATAGATAGATAGATAGATAGATAGATAGATAGATAGATAGATAGATAGATAGATAGATAGATAGATAGATAGATAGATAGATAGATAGATAGATAGAGAGAGATAGATAGATAGATAAATAGAGAGAGAGAGAGAGATAGAGAGAGAGATAGAGAGAGAGACAGAGACAGATAGAAAGATATAAATAGAGACAGATAGAGAGAGTGAGAGAGAGAGAGAGTGAGTGAGTGAGAATGAGAGTGAGAGAGTGAGTGAGTGAGTGAGTGAGAGTGAATGAGAGAGTGAGTGTGAGAGAGTGAGTGAGTGAGTTAGTGAGTGAGTGAGTGAGTGAGTGAGTGAGTGAGTGAGTGAGTGAGAGTGACTGAGTGTGAGTGAGTGTGAGCGAGTGAGTGAGAGCGAGTGAGTGAGAGTGATTGAGTGAGAGAGAGTGAGTGAGTGACTGTGTGAGAGTGGGTGAGTGAAAGTGAGTGAGTGAGAGTGAGTGAGTGAGAGTAAGTGAGTGAGTGAGTGAGTTAGTGAGAGTGAGTGAGTGACAGTGAGTGAGTGACTGTGTGAGAGTGAGTGAGTAAAAGTGAGTGAGAGATAGTGAGTGAGAGTGAGTAAGTGAGAGTGAGTGAGTGAGAGTGAGTGAGTTAGTGAGAGTGAGTGAGTGACAGTGAGTGAGTGAGAGTGAGTTAGTGAGAGTGAGTGAGTGACAGTGAGTGAGAGTGAGTGAGCGTGAGCGAGTGTGAGTGAGTGAGTGTGGAGTGAGTAAGTGAGTGTGGAGTGGATTGGTGTGCATGCGTGCATGTGTGTGTGTGTGTGTAAACTTCTATATTTACTTACCTCAACTTTCTGAGCAAGAAGTGAGGGTTTGAAGTTTGACTTGACTACAACTTTCACCTCCATCTTCTGACGACCAACTTCCCGCACTAGAGGGATCACCCGGAATGGAAGGCTAATGTCTTTGGTGGTGCGGTATCTGAACAATAAAACATCATCTAAGCATCAGAGCTGCAACTTTTTTAACTTGTACATCTGGAGATTAACAAACGCCTATCAGCTCCGGTCAATATGGCAGATTCACTGTTTTAGTCATGTGAAGTTTTTGCTTCTGACAATAGTTAGCTGCTTCATTTTCCTCCATATAAAAATTGAAAGAATACAGTTTTATCACCCTGATAAAGAACTGAGTACATGGTGCGATACTGTGAGATGCAGATCTGGAATGCTTTTCAGCATTGCACAACATGTTTGTACTGTGAACTGCAAATTCAGAAAATGGTGACTGGCCTGTTGCCAGAGAATCTGTGGTGCCTTACGCATTGAACTACATGTTCAAATATTGATCTGCTGTAACCGCTGCTTCCATCAAAGATAAAGTATATTTCTAGTGCCGAATGTTGGCAGTGACACTTCTGATGGCTGTCTTTTGTATTTAATCTGCGTGTATTCTATTGGCTTTGCATTGACAGCAGTCTGGGCCAAGAGATAGCAAAGGATATTCTATGTGTATGGAGCAACTATGGGGTAATCTGTCTGATATGAAGTTAGAACTGTGTTTACCTGATTAACTGGTTAGTCCAGTTATTTGTTATCCAGTTATCTGCTCACCAGATGTGATTCCCAATTTCACAAACACGGTGTGGGTTCTGGGGCTCCATTCTGGAGAATAAAGAACAGACTCACTGTCCTCCTAAAAACCATGTCCTAGGAGGCAACTTATTCAGGTTTGCAATTTAAAGTTGGAGCTAATAACAGGCAAGGAGGCAAACAGTGTGCATACAAATATGTCAGATCTATAAAACGGGTGTGCTTGCAAAACTCAAGTTATGGATCAAGACCAAAGCCCAGGAGTGAACAAACAACCAGAAATTTCCATTGGAGTTTACAGCCGGTAAACACAAAGAAGTATCCCTGTTATCTGCCTTTCTCCCTACATGCCCCAAACACTGCAGGCCGTGATGCCAGTAATGAGTGGTGACTTAAACAGATAATGAATGTCATTTTTCCCTCTTCACTGTTTGCATCCCTGATGGGTTCAAAGATCTGCTAAAAGACTGTTCTCTAAAGTTATGTACGGTACTTCACCTAACTAAAATAACAAGAGTGGTTTAATTACCTCATGAGCTCAAATTCTCCGTCCGGTGGAATGAAGCTGATGCTGTGCTCCGTTTCAAACTTGCTCAGTTTGACACACTGGTGGAATTGGCAGTCGTCAATGGCAATTGATGTCTTTCCTGCAGTTCTACACACATACAAGTTGAGTATATTAGAATAAAAACATTATCATGTCTTTTGTTTCAAAGTGCATAAAAGAGACATTAATGGTAAGGAAATGTTAAAAAAAAAACAGAGATAAACAGACCGGAACTGAACCCCTGAGCCCATAGAAACATTTTATATATAAATTTTTAACTGAAAATTAAAAAAAAAATATATAAAAACCACACCTGTGTGTGCATGCACGCACACACCCCACCCTCACAGGGTAACTAAAATAACTATATGGTAACTAGGCGTGGTAGCTGTAGTTGTCCATTTTTGTGTCATATCTTTCTACTTCCTTTAATGACTGTCAATCAATACACTGTCTGTCAGTTTATTATATATACACAAAAAAACAGAGACACATGAAGATGTGTTTGAAAAGCTTTAGCAGTTCAACATCATCATCATCATCATCCTGTCACGCCATCTTGCAGTCTAGCCCTCCATCCCGTTCCATCCATGACAATAACTGTTTATATAAATGGAATCCAGCCCAGCACATCTGGCCCCTCTCTACAACATTTGTCTTAGGGTTTCTCTTTAAGTCGCTTCCTCAATTCATGTGTTTCCCACTTCAGCGCCTGTTTAGTACTATTCTGTCCATTTCTCCTCATGATGTACCCAATATACTGCCATAATTTACTCATAATTGTTGGTACAAACAGTTGTCCAAATATTTCATTTTCATCTTTTCTTGAATTCATCTCATTTAATGTTCACCAATTTCTTTTAGCATGTTTTCAGATGCATTTAACTTGGTTCCATATCTTTAGTGATCTACCGTAGAATTTTTTTTTTATTACATTGGGTAGCTGACTTCACGCCGAACCATCCTCCTTTCTCATCAAGGCTTGGGACTAGCCATGGAGGAGATCAACTTGGCAATAAATCCATACTTAAATAATGAGGGCAAAAACAATGCATGGTACAATTCACTGCCAGGCATATTTGGCTGTATTTCATCGGCTACGTTACTAGAAAGTTCAATCAACATATAACCAAGTGCAAAAACTAATTTTTAAAAACAAACCCTAATTAGTCACCTTCTACAACAAACTTTTCAGAGGGGCAGAGGGTCTATTCTTCTTCTTCTTGTTCACCGGCTGTGAATTCCGGCGGTAAGTCACGGTTGTTCGCCCAAAATGGACTTTTGGCTTTTACCTTGACCTGAGTTTTGCGTGTACATCCGTTTTACTGGCTTATTTGTTTGCAGTACTCGTTCCCCGCCTCTCAGGCAGATGTACTCCGACTTCGGAGGAAGACGTCAAGCCTATTTCTAGGTTGACTGTGGCCATTGTTTTGTGTGGGTCGAGATGTTGCCTTATTTGTGTGGTGTCCTCTTTGACTTTTAACAAGTGTGGCCCCCGGCATGTCGTCCTTAAGGCAGCTCTATGTAGAGTTTTCAGTCCTCAAGGGAAGGCAGGGGCAGATCATGGGCATTCCCCGCCATCCAAGGAGGCTTCCATAAATGCAGAGCCGACACATGATGCTCTGGTTCTGGGCTCACCCAAGGAATCGTCACGTCCTGCCCATGACTGCTTAACCTCACAACCGTGTATTGAGCTTCCCGCGCTACAAGGCTGCGCTCTCCGGAGATCAGCGGGGAGCAGCCCGCAGGTCTAGGACGTTTGTGGCCACACAAGTAGGTACATTCTTTTTCATCTTACGCTAGACACCTTTAACGTTGTTTCAGCTGTGCCCTTAGCACGACAGAATGGGGAAGCAAAATGCGTCAGGCGTGGCTTCACCTGTTTGGTCCCAACACTCGGGCGAGTTGGACCAGTGGATACGGACATTCAGACTTTTCCTAATCGGTACGAGTTATGATCGTCGGACTTTGAGCTTGCATGTGTGCCGTGGGCTGTAACTTTGTCGGACATTGTTTTCAAGCCAGCATATGAATAGTTGCTGCCATGGTTTACCTCAGCGCGGTGACGACGACACTGAGGATTGACAGAGGATGTACGTAGGTGGGATCTTGCTGCGAGAAGTCGCCACAAGAGATGTTACTCGTCTTGGCTGCGGGTAAATCTCTCGGTCAGGGTTGAGTCTCAGCAGCACAGTTTTCCATTCGCTCCCGAATTTTAACCAAGAGTTGTCATTTGATGGTACATTTAGCAAGCAGTCCTTGAGTTTTGTTACTTTTCACCCATGCGTTTGGGGGCGGGCTGGTGAGAGCCAGAAAGGACTCTACACCTCTGGTGGCCGCCAGCTCCGAGATCCCCTGCCAACTCTGTTAATGCTCATTTGAGACATTATCCGTGGCGCACGATGGGGACGTGCAACAGGAGTCTTGCATGAGGTTACGTAAAACCAGAACAGTGAAGTACTGGCGCCCGAGTGGGGTACGGAATTTCTCCTTATACACATCACATCAGACTTAACTTCCCTTCATGCCTGTGACCGAAATCACCGCGCCACTGAGGGTCTATTATTCCCACCCCCTTTTCAAATGGGGGTTCCGGAACCTACATGACAAAGAAAAACAATCAAATTGGAAATTATGGGAGAGTACACAAGACAGACTGCTGACAGACACGATAAACATCACCACATGACATGGGCTACAAGATGAATCATCATGAGGAGCCCAACACGTCTCAGAGTGTAGGGAGTGAACCTTTCCTTCTTGTAAATCGACACAATGCAATCAATGTCATTTCTCCCCTGTGTGGGTTCTAGGCCCCCACTGGGTGTATGTGTGGGGGTAGAGCCAGTGCATCTCTAACAAGCATGTTGCAAGTGTCAACTAATTAGGGGTTTCCTTCAAAGTGCATCTGCCTGAGAGGCAAGGAACTAACCGTCTGCAAACAAAATGAGCCAGATCTGGTGTTGGGGTGGGTAGGGGGGGGGGGGTGCACAGAAAACTCATGTCCTGGTACAAGACTAAAGTGGATGAACAACCACAACTTTACCTGGAGTTTACCGCTGGTGAACGTGAAGAAGAAGATAAATTTCAAGATGCGAAGAAGATAACTTCAAGACGAACACCCAAAAAGAAAGGAGAAGAAAAAGAAAATGATTAGAAAGATAAAACCTACACTCCAGCACGAGAACTGTCATCGAGGCTGCTCTTTCCTTTGCTCTCCATGAGGACTTTATCGTTGATTCCAAACTTGCACTCCGGCATCCCGCTAAGGTAGCTCTTCATCACGATACGTCCGGCCACGTGAGCACTCAGTACCTGACCTGGATAATGGGACATACACCACTCTCATAATGACACAAATGTAAGTGAAAAAGTTATTTTCAATAACAACAAAAAATAAAGGCTTGAAAGCCGTTTATTTTTACACATACACTGTCCTTTTGTTTTTCAACATAATTTCCACCAACACTGATACACCTGTCCCAACGTTTTATCAGTCATCCCAAACCTGCTGTATAGAACTGGGTGCTTTGTTTCCTAAACCACATTTTCACTTCCCATTCAACTTCTGCATCATTTGTTAAATGTCTACCGTGGACCAAAAATCAAGTGAGCACCATACTGCAGCTGCTACAAAGTTAACCGTTACTTGCCTGTCCCCTTCTGATCATCTCCTCCACCCACTGCATGGGTGCGTCTGTTGCAATCTTAACAGGATAACCAGATCAAACTTCACCAACAATGTTAGAGCGTACTTGAGAAAAATTATGTACCCAACTATGCACCGTTTTACGGGATAAACATTTGTCAGCATAAACAGGAAGCATTTCCTTATGAATTTCCTTTGCTGACAGCCCTTTTGCCCAAAAACGAAATGCACAACAGAACATTGTTCTTTGAGTGTGAACTCTGTAAGTACAGTCGCCATTTGTTTCTCTGTTGCACGTGCGCATGCAACACCTAGCGTCACCTAATGAAGGGAGACATGCAGTTTCATGTTGCTTTTACCCAATGACACCTTTAGAAACCACTAACTACATTTTTCTGCCATCCCATAACCATTTGTGACTTACTTATTGTGTTCCTTTCATAGGAACAAAAGAACATATCATAGACAGTGTGGCACTGACAGATAAAACTACATATCACAGACAGTCTTTTGGAGCACCGACTGATTAAACCATACATGAGAGACAGTCTTTGGGGCACTCACAGATAAAACTAAATATCAGTCTTAGGGGTACTGACAGATAAAACTACATATCATAGACAGTCTTTTGGAAAGTTTTTTGCAGCACTAACAGATTAAACTACATATCATAGACAGTCTTTGGGGCAATGAAAGATAAAACTACATATCACACAGTCAGGAAAGATAAAACTACATATCACACAGTCTTTTAGAGCACTGACAGATAAAACTACATAACAGACAGTCTTCAAAACATTGACAGAAAAAAAATACTAAAGACAGTTTTCAGATACAAATTCATATCATCACAGGTAGTATTTGAAATTGAAGATTCAACTACCTATCACCATAAACACAGTGAATAATGTCAGATAACATTAAACAGACTGCAGCACCCCACAGTGTCATAATCTAATTCATACACAGAACCCCCCCCCCCCCCCCCCCCCCCAAGCTCCTTAATCTCACAACTTGCTTTAGCATCATTGAACAAATTCAAATTTTAGCACAATGGTGTGAGACACTCCACTATACATCAGACCCTCTCCTCATACACTGTAGCATCATTAAACAGATTCTAGCAACCCACAGTGACTCTCACTCCAGTACACACTAGCACGAACCATAACCCACATCTCACACCTTGCTGTAACATCATTAAACAGATTCCTGCACCCCACAGTGACATTCACTCCAATATACACTACTACACACCAGACCCCCACATCTCACACCTTGCTGTAACATCATTAAACTAATTTCCACACACTAGTGTGAGGCACTCCAATACAGAGCAGAATCCTAATCTCATACTGTGATGTAACAAACATTGTTAAGCAGATTCCACCATACTACCGTGCCACTCTCTAATACAAGCTACCACATACACCAGACCGCCTCATCTCCTACCTTGAGGTGACATCAGCAAGTTCACAGACTCAAGGACATCCAGAAAGAGCTCATTCCTCCTGTACTTGATGCCCTCCCGCCTCCAGCCAATCTGTCCTGTCACCTGGGAGGTGATCTGGGCTGTTTCCTCCTTCGTCTGTCAGGTAATAGATGGACTCAGTTCAGAAACTCAAATAAATATGCCAGGTAAAAGTAAAGGACCCTTTTATGCCAGTGATGTATCATTCACAGGGTGCTGTGGTCTAAATCAAACTGGCTGCCTTTACTACCCAGGACATTTCCTGACACTTATTTTAGGCTGGGACACCCTGGAATCCAAATCCTTTATAAAATATCTACTCCAATGTAGATTCGAACCTAATATGTTCAGACCAGCAGACAAGCACTTAGCCACAGCACTACTGCAGTTTGGCAATAAATGAGAGACAGAAATCAAAACTGACCTCAGCATACAAGAGATTTTTCATCATTTTGCCAATTTGCACAATTGTTGGTATCTGTCTGGTAGGTTTTTTTAAAAATGGGCTTAGGCACAAAGGCTGTCAAAGCAACTGGCATACAGCATTTTTCCATATCAAAGAACATGCAGGCTTGGCATGAGCTGGTTACTTTAATGAGGGGGAAAACTCGAAGGATGATGAGAAGTTGTATCGTAACAATATTTTCTCAAAACAAAAATATTAAAAAACTGCTTCTTCTTCTGTTGCCCCCTATCCCCTAATGGAGCACAGGCCTTTAGCCAACTCACGCCAAGTCTTCCTATCCTGTGCTATTGCATGCAGCTCACTCTATGTCCTCCCCATCCTTTTAACTTCACTGTCTAGCTCCCTTCTCCATGTTTTTCTAAAATATGCCTTTATTTCCATACCCCTGTGGGTTCCAGTGCAAACAGATTCCATTTATACACATTGATTCTAGTTTCTTCAAATTTTCTTTACTTATAGTTCTATCCTCCCAGTTTTTTTTTTTAAATATTTAAAAAAACATTCATGTTGCTTTTAGTTTCCTTCCTGTTGTTTTATTATCCTACCGTCTCAGTTTCCCACACACACACCATCCCCACTGAAATACAATGAATAACATATTACAGGTAAAAAAAAAGGAAACTGGGATGTGACAAATCAAGAGCCCATTACCTGAGACTTGACTCCCTGCTGTGTAATGAATGTCTTGAGTATCCCAGTGTCAGTATTCTGTGGGTAGCCAAAGTCCAGGATCTCTGAGGAAAGGAGTTGACAGCTACAATGAAACATGCAGGTTTCAAAGAGGACAGAACAAGCATCTTTACTGACTACAAAAACTTAAATTGTGGCTTTTCCTATCTAAGTCATGAGTCGTTTTTGACACCATAATTTGGTTGACAAGTATAACTGTTTGAGGGGATATCTCCAGGGACCGTCACTGGAGCTCCAGAGTTCTTGCTTTGTGCAGAGCTCTCCGCAGTCAGTCAGATTCTTCATGGAGTGAAACCTAGCCATTTGGCATCCAGCTCAGTCAAATTAAGTAGGTTTTTGCACCTTTCCCTTAAAACTAGAGTACCAAGGAACATGCCATGTTTTCATGTCTAAATAATTTAACTGCCCTCTGGTACAAAGCGTTGAAACTATTTTAATTGTAACCGATACAGCTGCAAAAGGAACAAAATAATTTCCCATGCAGACCTAAGATGTCTACCGACGTACCAGGGAGCTGTGGCTGCACAGATCTGGCTACCGATCTGAAGGTCTTGGGACCAAATGCACATCTGGACAGATTTTATAAATAAATAATCTGAGTGACCTAGTCTAAAATTGTTGACATAAAATAAAGTTTAGTATTGGTTCTGTGCTGACTCTCTTCCTAGTATCATCGGTCCTTAGTCGATTTTCCTCGTGACACCTAATAAGTACATAAACATTTTATTTCTGTCCTGACTATTTTCTTTTTCACTTCTGAAGATAGTGTGCATTCTGACACTGATGGTATAGCATTGGTAAGAATATTGTACTGAACAGTTTTCTATTTGTGTTTATATTCACATGCTTGCATTTCAAAACTGGTGACATCTGGCCTAAAACTAGATTAGCTGTATTGCATCTTTTGCTGGATTATTATTTTTATTTATATATATATTAATTCTTCCATCTTCTGAAACAATACTCCCCAGATATGTAAATCCTTTGCCTGCTTTAACTGGCAATATAAACATGAACGTCTGGAAAGACAGAAATGTGCCATACAGAAAACAATATGCTTAACCCACAAGAAGCGTGTGAAATATCCGTTAATATTATCGGACATACGTACCATCCAAAATCTCATAGATCAGTACAAAGTTATTTTTAATGTTCTCTTCAGAGATCTTGCCGAAGTAGGCGGCCATCACCTCACACATTTTATGGAGGAACTCAAACACCATGGCTGCGTTGACATTCTGCCTGGTGACGGCAGCCACCCAGATGTTAGAGCGTTTGATGTGGAAGAAGCTGGTGCGGGCAATGTTGGTCACAGGAGAACGCACTTGCTGCCGGGCGTGGATCACATTCACGCGGAAGGCATCCACAGCATTGCGCCTGTTTGAACAACAAATAATGATTTCAGTCAAAATGTATATATAAATCACTGGTATTGTTTATTTTCTTATATGGATGTGAGAGTTGGACTCTCAATGTGGAAATGGAAAGGAGGAATCAGGCTTTCGAATGTAAATGCTATAGACACATTTTACAAATTAGCTATTTAGAACACAAAACTAACAAATATATCAAAGACAAAATATAAAAATGTGCAGGACATCAGGAGTCTTTCTTGGCAGTGGTGAAACATTGCAAGCTAGCTTGATTTAAGTACGTGGTGAGACAAGAATTGATTGCAAAGACTGCACTTCAAGGAACATTGATTGGGGGGGGGGGGGGGGATTGGGGGAAGAGGCGGTTAAAGAAGAACTTGAAATGACATCAAGAAAGGGATAGGACTAAGTTACCGCACACTTATTCAATAAGCGGAAGACAGAGAAAGATGGCAGGTTTTACGTACTAGTGCTTCCATCGATACACCTCCACGACCCAAAAGGGTAAAGGGTTATGTTATTTATCAATAAAAGAAAATCACTACATTTCAACTTAAATGCAACTTATTTTTATACCTAAATGTGACCAAACTATAGAACACTGTGTACAACAACAAAAAAGACAAATACTGACATTTTAAAAGAGTGAACATAAAACAGATTGGTTCCGTTGAATGATTCATACATACCCAATATCATCCCGAAAGACCCTGGAGATAAGCACCTCTCCTTTATGATTGTAGATAAACAATCCTCCAATCATGATTGCAAATGGCTCAAGCCAAAGCAATAAAGTCTAAATTATGTAGCTGTGTCTTTCCTCAGTTTGTGAAACAACACTAAAGAATAAAGAAAATGTTTTAAAACAAACTGCACTAACCTTTTGCTTTGAGTATAAGTGTATGTGTGACAGATAGGTTGAGGAGGAAAGTGAGAGGCAGAAGGAACAAATGTTAAGTGGAAGAGGAAAGACAGAAGTAGAAAAGGTGGTTTTATAGTATGGACACAAAGTCAATTAACTAGCTGGAACAAAAGTCAGGCCGCTGTGAAAGCAGAAGTGCAGGCCTTAATTTTCTATAATTCTCTAGAGGAATGCTGTCATTTACACAGAAGGGTCTGTGCTCACCATGTGAGAAAGTCATGGACTTTTAAAACTCAGGTTGGAAGTGGAATTGTGAAGCATGATTCTGGTGCTTTTGTTTTCTCAGTGACTTAACGAGTAGGTTCATGAAGATAGAGATAGCCTGGGTCCAAATACAGTGGCTGGAGCCTCTGAGGTAGTCAGGGCTGACACACATCAGTTTCATATTCATGCCAGGGCACATATGTATGCAAGAGAATGAGCAAGCAGATAGGCTTTCGGGTAAATCTACTGTGGAGGTTGGACGTACCATGGACGAGGGTGATACACTGAATGCTCTATGAGAAGTAAAAAGGTTTGCGAGAGCCAAGTGATGATTGAATCTGCAACCACGACCAGACTGAAAGAACAGTATGTTAAAAGAGGTGTGGCCAGACAAGAGCACTATGCAGGAATCCAAAGAAGAATAAGAAACTAACACAGGAATACTGTCATCGGCTGCTAGACTCTGCAGAATTTACTGAGGAGGGGATGTGAGCACTTATGGACAGAATGTTTCAATGTGCAGGGAGCATAATCTGTCGACTGAATTACTACCTACCTACCAAACTAGCAGTGTTTTTATCAAGTCTGTAGCTGAATAACAGAATCATCAAAGTGGAGTTGATAAAGTGAACTAAACAAATCAGGGTGATAAACATGTGAGAGGAGAAATGCTTGTACCGGATAAGAAAGCTATTAATAAATGGTCTAACAAGACAATGTCTTCGGAACCCAAAGTGCAATGAAATATGGGAGATCTCAAAACACAGTAGAAAGAGTTATGTTAATAATAAAGAGAGGCAGAGATTTTTACTCTGATGGTATACAATAGTACACAGTACTGATACCTTTTTTAAGGCATTTTTTTTTTTTTTTTTTGGATACTACTGTTCCAGAACTTAACTCTTTGAGTCCCAGGGAGTTTAGCATCACAGGCCCAGGGGATAGTAAAGAAAGTAATAGGTAGGAATCTATGAAGGTATGATGTGTTTCTTGGGACTCAAAGAGATAAGTGCTTTGTGCACGTCTATTTTACAGATCTGAATCATGTATGCAGACTGTTGGTTCCTTGCCTCTCAGGCAGATGCACTCAGACTTTTAAGGAGGCTCACAATCAGTTGACTCTTACAACACATTTTTGCGTAGGCAGTGGGTCTATTCTTGTGTCTCCCACAATGGTGCCTCGGAAACCACACAGGGAATGTGTTATAAAAGGTAAAGTCGGGAGATGTGAACCAGCGTCACTGCACACGGTTATAAACCATAAGTGCTCTGCCACCAGTACGGGAAACTGTCCGCTTGTGTCACTCTGGTACCCATTTCCTAGAGGCTGGGTGAACCCCGGGAACAGCCCGGTTTTGAACACCGACCGTGGCTGCAGTGATTCGCAGCTGGATTTGAAAGTGAGCCTCCTATCGACTGAGCTAATGCAGCTCATATGTATATCAATATCTACATGTTATTCTGCCACTACATTTGTGACTGTAATTCTACTAACAACCCCAGCTAACTGTCAATACAGATATATCTCATGACATTAATTAAATACTAAATGCTAGGTTTTCCTCTATCCAGCACAGTAGACATGGTATTTGTAAGTAAGGTTCTCCAGTATAACTTTTTTATATTTTATATGACTGAACTGGGTTTCTGAGATGTTTCAATTTCTGTAAGATTGGCATCTCAACAGTGGCTTTCTGAGTCATAGCTATCAAACCTTGAGGCTAGGTCCTAGAGGGAGAACTCGAAAAACTAATTTACATTTCATTACATACATGCATTAAAATTAATTATTAACAGATAATTATGACTGCTGCTAAAACCAAAAGGGGGAGACAGTAATGAGTTAGACTCAGGGCCGATGGAAATGTAACAAATATTTAATAAGATAAAAGTTAAGGCTTCAGTCACTATTAATGACTAAATATTCAATTAAACTGACTTTGCTCAGATGAAAATAAATAAATATTCTGCTCCCATGGATTAAAAACGATCAAAAACACCGTGCGTACGAGCTAGTTCAGACAATTTTAATTTAGTTCAAATGAGATGAATTTCCTCTAAACATTGCGGTTGCGGATGATTTCGACCTCAGCCGGTACCTTAACAGTATTAACTGCAGTACTAATTCTTAATAGAATAAATGCAGATTACCTCACACGAAACAAATAAACTGTTTGCGCTTATCTAGAGACTGTAAAATGACAAAAGAAGGGCGAGAAATAAGCCACTGCACCGACAAAAGTTATCCACATTCTGGGGGTGTTGCCGCTGTTGCCATTTTCATTCCCACAATGCACTGCGACCAGTGTCGCAACTTTTCTTTGACAGAAAACATTTAGAAACGGATCAAAAAATATCTAGGAGTATCTAGATTTGCGCGGGACACATCTAGAAAAAACATCCAAATGAAAAAAGTCACAGATTACATAGCTTTTGAAATGATTTACACTATATAATTATGTCCTTATCTTCACTGATGTCTGTCTCACAAGATCAACAGGATGATAAACGTAGCTTGGATGATCAAGTTAAAGCTTCAGATCCAAAATGACTCTGGTATGCTTTAGCTGTTACAATTTCTTTTAATACAAAATCAGGGAGCTGATAGTTGAACAGCATTTTCCTTCTCTCATTAGGCCAAATTTTATTGTTAAGATAGCATTTAAGAGGTCAAGTTTCATCCTATTTCTTAGGTTAGATGTGATATAATTCGCTTCAGTTTCTGTTTTGTTTTTCCAGTCAACCAAGTTTATTTTGGTTAATTGATATTCTGTTTCCGCCACACTATTATCAGTAGCCCCTAAAAATTTCATAACTTTACAATATTTAGGTATGTCCTTTACTGGCTGAAGTATGTTGATAAACAGAAAAGAGAGAAATATTTTTCAATACATCTAGATTTTCAGGAAGTCACTGCTTCAGTTGCTTGAATAATGAGTTAAGGAAATCTTGACAGCGCTTTCTTATGCTGTTTTCTTCGTTTTATGTTAAGAATCCTTTTGTTTTTAAACCAATAATTTGTTATTTAATTTGATATCCAAGGGATGGCTTAGGCGCCAAATAGCTTCTCTATAGTGCAAGTGAGCAATCAGCTTTAGAAGTTGGCAACACCAGTCTTTTACCAACTGAGTGAAATAGCAACGTGAGTTCGTCAAGTTATTTAACTTTATCAACATGTTTAGATTCGAACAGTTTATTACATTTTTGCACTTCCATTAGAATAGGTTGTAAAGGGAAACGGTATGCCAAATTTCATCACTGTACATTCCATATAGTATTTCAGCTTTATACCACTTTTCACTTGTTTTTCCGAAGTGTTTCTTTAACTCCAACCATTGGTTCACAATTCTTTGAACAGCTGGTTGAATTGATAACACTCTAGTTTTGCATCTGGCAGAAATTTAAGTGGTGCGAAACCATTATTTAATGCTTTATATGAGTTATTGAATTGCTGTTGTCTAACAGATGATTAGGAAAACCAGTTATGTGTTTCAGCAATAAGGTATTCCAAATTCTTTGGTAAACATTAAGATCAAGCGTGTGATAATGCTAACTGTAAGGAATGACACCCACACATTTTATAAGGATTAAAGGTGGGATATCTTCCTTCAGTTTGGCATAAAACGCCATTGTTGATACCAATCATCACCGAAACATTATCGGTACCAATTGCAGCCAAATTCTTCAAGTCTAATTGCTTACTTATCGAAAGTTTCTTTAGTCCCTGAACTTTACTTTCTGCAACATACTTTTCATTTAAACTAGTCCAAGATATGTAGAAACTACTTTGTCTGTATTGTTGCTGTAATTTATAATGCACACACCAAGCACTTTCAGTACAGAAATGTCATTCGATTCGTCTAATAATAAGCTATATTTATTTGTAGAAAAATCACAGATCAAATATTTTTCAAAGTGAGAAAATAAAGTATTTCTTATAATATGTGTACACTTGCTGCGATGTATTTTTACGTCATCAATAAATTTACTGTCAGAAATAGTGTTTTTAAACAATTCAATCAAATGGTATAATTCGAAATTGCACAATGACAACTTAAAAACATTGCGACAGATCCTTCAACTTTTTAATAATCGGTGTAGTTCTGAAAACAGATACCAGGGGTATAATATCTTTGAATGGAACTGCAGTTTTATGCTTTTTAGTCTCTGCCTGACTGTTTAAGTCTTGTATTTTCGCTTTAATTTCACACTTGCAGTACTTAAACGAGCCTCAGACGTATTCCCATGAACTGTCATCACCCAGTCTTTAATTATGTCATCATACAGCCACTCTTTCCTAAATTTTTGTTCATACTGCTTTCCTTTTGGCCCGTTGAAAGGTTTTTCAAAGTGTAAGACACATATGAAGATTAGTAATTAGGAATCACATCAAAAAGAACCACAAAGTGAGCATCATAACTTTAATTCACAACACAGTGAGGATACAGTTGAAACAAAGTGTAATTTACGCGTGCTTTTAATCAGTACCGGGGCTGCCCGATTGTTGAGCGTTGACCCCAGTGAGTTCAAAGTTTAAGTAAATGCAGTTACTACAATGTACGTGCCCAGACCAAAACGAAAAATGTGTAATAAAAATATTTCATACAGTAATTATTTAACTGACACTGAAAGAAAAA